AGGATGAGTAATGCATATTTAAGGAGGACGAATAGCGTCAAAGATTTAGGGGTTACGTATGATTCATATTTCTATTTTTCTTAACATATAGAAAATATTTCAGCATCAGCTAATCGTATGTTAGGGTTTATTATAAGACAAACATCTGCTTTTGTAAACATTAAAACAATTACCACTTTGTATTATGCATTTGTAAGGTCTAAACTTGAGTTTGCGTCCATCATCTGGCACTCACAACCTCAAATATATCTGAACACCATAGAAAAAATACAGAATAAATTTCTTAGATATCTATATTACAAAAAATACCATACAAGACCTAATTATCAATATGTTAGATCAGCACATCTAAGAACTGAATTCAATGTTACATCTTTGAGCATAAGGCGTGAAATAGCTATACTTATGTTTTTATATAAAGTTTTGAATAATCTAATTGATACACAAACTATTTTAGCTCTTGTACCATTTAATGTACCTTCGCGACAAACTAGGTGTTCATTAAAGTTTAGGGTGCCAATAGCATTTACCACCACCCAATCCCCTCTGGTAACCATGCTTCGACTAGCCAATAACGTAGACTCTTTGATTGATTTAGAGTGGAGCTGGCCACTCAATAAATTTAATAGAACTGTTTCTGCACATTTATTGTCCTTAGCTAATTAATACTTTTTAACAGTCAGTACCTCTTTATGAGTAGTGAGTAGTGTGTTTATGTTTAGGATTACATTTCTGTACTATCTTGTAATTTAGTCTGCTGTTCATTAGTAGTATTCTGATGTTATAATGAATAAGTATATATGATGTATTCTTTTATCCTTGTAATTAGGCCGCTAGGCCTGTTAGGGTGTATCAATAAATTAAATTAAATTAAATTAAATTAAAAATCCTAATTAAAAAATTACTCTTCAAGTTTTCTTTTAATACTCCGTATTAACTCCAAGTACAAAACCTATTACCTATCTAAAATACCCATTTTTTACTTTTAATGTCATACCACGTAATATTCTAATTCAAATTTCATATTATTAAAATTACCTACTTAGGGTACCTAGTGTCAGGTAGAAAGTGAAACTAAATATTTTATTTCAATAATAAAAATTCTTTTAAGCCAGCCCCGACTATTTCGCTTAATCTGAGAGAGTTAGCACGATTCCGTCCCGCTTGGTTCTCGACCGCCACATCAAAGGCGTCGACACGGACTCTTCTAGCTGTCTATTATTAAGCTGTGGTGCAATTACTGCAATTATGTAGTGGTAGTGATTGTGTCTGAATGTAGTGGACGAGAAATGTGCATGTAGTGTACTGTTCCATATGTTTAATATAGATTTGATTTTTAATTTCAATTAGCCTATATTAAACTAATTTACGATTCATCCCATACATTTATATTTTTCTTCATTATTATGGTAATTTAATTAATGGTAATTTTTTCTAATTTTATAGCCGCAGTGATATTCTATTGTTTTTTTTTTTTAGGGAAAATCAAGGAAAACTAGGAAGATAGTAGAAAAACGTTTTGCCAAAATGAAAAAAATGTTAAGTTTAAGTGATCCAAGAATAAAAGACGCACAGCGAGCACCACCAAGAAAAAAAAAATCTGAAGATCCTTACAAAGTTAAAGTCCAAGATGTGCCTCAGATTAGCTCAGCGTTATTTTTTCAATATAATACCCAACTTGGCCCTCCATACCATATATTAATAGACACCAACTTTATAAATTTTTCAATAAAAAATAGATTGGATGTTATACAGAATATGATGGACTGTTTGTACGCTAAATGTATACCATATATAACAGATTGCGTGTTAGCAGAATTAGAAAAATTAGGGCAAAAGTATAAGGTAGCCTTACGAATTATAAAAGATCCTCGTTTTGAACGAATCAGTTGCATGCATAAAGGCACTTATGCTGATGATTGTCTTGTTCAGAGAGTTACTCAACATAAATGTTATATAGTAGCAACTAATGACAGAGATTTGAAAAGAAGAATTAGAAAAATACCTGGGGTGCCTATAATGTATGTTTCTCAACATAGATATACCATTGAGAGAATGCCAGATGCTTACGGGGTTCCAAAAATATGATGTGCTTGATCCAATTTATTCCAGCAGAAAAAAATAAAATAGAAATGGAAAAAACATTGGTTTATATAATATTTATAGTTTATTATAACAAATTAGAATGCATAAAATATTTAGCAGTGACAATTATTGTAAAACGGTTGGAAGAATGTAAACAAATAATTGAATCGGACATTTTATCTTCAGTTTTCTATACATAATTTTGCTTGTAAAAATAATCACATTAACAACAATTTTGAAGAAGGTGTATAGGTCATTAGAAAATCAAAAATAGCTGAAGAGAGAGGTAGTTCCATTTTTAAATTTTGAAAAGTATAATAAAAAATCGTAATTTAATAGCAAGGAAAAATGGTGAAATTGATTCGTCTCTGTTCTTAATTTGTTTCACGAATATTTAAATTTTTTAATTACAAACTATTTTTTATTAATATTCGGAGTTTCTGTCGCAGAAAAGAAAAAAGATACTTGTGGTTAGACAAAATTGAATTTATAAAATTAATCTTTTGACTAGTCCATTTAACATAATAGGTTTTTTTTCGTGTTAGTAAATTACTTTTTATTTTCAATGGCAAAATAAAATAGTAATAAAAACTACCAAGTAAATAATTATAGACAATACCTATCTTAAGTTATTTTTCTCTTCAGTTTCATTTAAGTAATTATTTTCTCAACACCACAGATGATAGACATACTAACACCATATGTGTCTAAATCTAAATTTGTTCAGTAAAAATATAAATTTAACCTTAATGTAACTCAACTGTTGACAGCGTTAACTTGTCGAAATCTGCAGATGTTAGGAAGGTTGCGTTATTTTATTGAACATTTTGATCCAATAAATTTCATCAACATAGTATTGCTCCGTTTGAAAAATATTTAATGTCTGACTATAGAATTCATACATACGCGGAAAAGAGGAATAAAAGAACATCGCTGATTTATAGTAATTAGTAATATTAGATTTATAATCTAATAATATCTTAATTGAGAAATAGACGTAAATAATTTTGTAATTTTTTGTAACTATCGGTAACTAATTAAATAAGTTCCCTGACCAGGAAAACTCATTAAAAAGCATTTTTTATTTAAATGACTTTTTTCAAGTGTAAAACTAGTGTAAAGAATATGTTACATTTTGTCCAACAGTCAAAATTAGTGTGCAAATGAAAACTGTTCTACAAAATGCTCTTATTCTATATAAGTTTTATATCTGTAAATAAAACATACAAAAACGATAGCGGACTTGCTTAAATATAGGGCGAGTCAAACAAATAATACTTTATTCTAACTATATAAAATAAATGTATTACAACTTAGAGCTTTTGTTTATTTCACCATTAGGCTTAAAGTTATAGTAACAGTACAAAGATGGTTTTGCCTAATTTTTCATCGCATAGGCCTTTTCATCAAAAGGTTGTTAATACATGTGTATCAATATCAGACATCTTTTTCGTAATGTTTTTTTTTGTAAACACGTGTTCACTTTTTAATTAATTGAATAAGATATAGGTACATTCATTTTTTCATATTAAGTAATACCGTTGAGTGAGGAATACTATTTCTCACTCAACAGTAATACATTAATATACACGATCATTCAGGGTGTTTCTTAAATATTTGCACAAACTTTAAAGGGTGAATCTTTGAACATGGGTCCACAACGGTTTGGTTCTTGAGATATTTATTTATTTATTTATTTATTTATTTATTTATTTACTATATCCAATAGGCAAGGATAAGGATAGTAAACTATAATAATAAAAAGAGAAAACAAAATCCAGCTAAAAACCACAAATACGCAAATATATAACGGGAGAAATGGCTATAAATTACAAATACAATCATATAATAAAGTCATATATATAAAAAAATGTCAAATCTATAAACTTAAAAGAGATACATTATATAAACTCTTTATCTGAGTAATAAATGAACAAAATATATCCAACCGTGATTCAATTACACTGTAATTGGTAAACATTTGATAAAAGGGAGAGGCTTTTTGTTTGAAGATTTTGGTGCCGTATCGAGGAATATGAAAATTTATCATTTCTACCAGGTATTCACATTTTATTATATTGTTTAAGACTTTGTACAAAAATATTACACTACTAATTTTTCGTCTTTGTAATAAACTGACCATATTGAAACGTTCATAAAAACACTGTTGTGCAAAACCCCTGGGTGGATCGCGGCCATCAAGTGCAAAGGCAGCTGATTTGAAAAAACGACGTTGTACTTTTTCAATATACATTATACGAGTATGATTATTGTAGACAGGTACCATACCAAAGAAGCATACTCAAGCTTAGATCTGACAAATTTAATGGATAAAAACTTGATGGTATCAGAGTTTTGAAAATTTGTCGAATTACGAACAATAAAAACTAAAGTTTTGTAAGCGCTTTTAAATATATTAGTACAATCAATCTGTCACGGCCTTATGTTAAATTTATAAAAAATACCATCTGGAAACAAAAAATATGGTGATATAGGAAAAACAATTCTAAAATAGTGTATCTTTCCTGTGGCGCATAAACGGCGAAGTTAACTTAAAAAATTCATAAAAGTAAGAAAAAACGGTTTTTCGCTAATAAAGAAAAAACTTGAACTTTAATCGAAAAAAGTTAAATGAGAAAGTTGGAGCTATTAAAAAATATATCAATTGTTATATTACTTTTCGAGATATATCGAAAAAACCGTCAAAAATCGACTTTTTTTGTTTTCGCTGTATCTCTTGTTAATTAAGGTTTTGAAACTTGTTACTTGGTGTAAATGTAGCACTCGGCAAACAAGAAAGTACATTTTTTTAAAATTAAAAAATATTAAACATTTTTCGAAAAAAGGTCATCTCGAAAATCGGCTCTTCTTGCTCGACGAATAGTCGTAGAGAAACGAATCAGTGCTCATTTTTTTCCTTAAGGGTTGTACTTTCATGGTAAAAAAGAGTGATAATGATTTTATTCATTTCAAGTATCCAAAGATGATTTTGAAAAAAGTAAAAATTTTTTGGTCGCGTTTTTCTTGAATATCTTTTAAGATTTTCATTTTTTCATAATCGATTTCCATTCTTGTTTCCATTTAGCCTGTATTTGATGCTTAATTGTTAGGACATAATTTTTGTCTAGTTCTACTTCTACCTGATTTTCAGAATTTCTTCCAATATTTGCCAGTATGTCTACTATTAGGTTCCCATGGATGTTGGAATATCCCGGAATCCATGCCAATTTCATTTCACAGCCGTTTGCCACGGCTTCTAGCAACACTTTTGGTTTTCAGGGAAATGTGGTCCCTATCTTTGATGTTTGCCATGCTCGTGATTTTTTGTAGAGCTGACTGAGTGAAAATATTACTGACTTATCCAGGTTCCTCTAGTTAAAGTTGCAATTCGTGACTTGGAAGACTTTAACACATTTATTTGTTTCAACGCGTTTATTGATTACTAGATATTCAGTACAAGTCGTAACGTCTACTATATTACACTGATGATGAGAGATCTCGCATGAGTTTATATAGGGATCTCTTATCATTTACATTGACGTCAATAGATAGGCAAAGTATACATAACAATGTATTATGCATGAAGGACAACGAAATATAAAAATAAAAGAAGATCCGGGTTCTGTACAGGGTGTGTAACTCCTCCCATCTTAAAAAGGAAGTTGGGGGTCCACGAGAGCGCCAACTGCCTTGTCCACCTTGGGCTTGATTTTGACTTGTTCCTTGGCTTTGTTGAAGATGACGGCTAGACCTGTTTTGGGTTTGTTTTTCCTGAAGTAAAAGTATGTTAGGATGTTTATAAGATACAGGTAAGGAGAAATAGTCATTGGAGATAGTATTATTTTTGAAGAATATTTCTATTTTTTGTTTTTTAATGTCTTCTATACCAAGGGCTCCATCGAAGAATTCGTGAAAATTGAGAAGGATAGTATCAAGTTTTTGATTTGAGTTGAACTCGGGGAAGGATGGAATATGAGCTTGGGTTTTCACAAGGATATGTCCTGATCCAGTTTTTACTTGGATAGGGTCTGTTCCCACTAAACACGAAACGTAAATGAAACGTTGCAAATGAGATGTTTTACTAAACATTTGAAACATTAACTAGAAACGTTTCTGTTTCATTACAGAAATGTAGCACTTGAAAACTTATTTAGTGAAACATAGCCGAAACGTTACAATTGAAGGGAGTTTGAAACATTACTCGAAACATTACCTTTCGATCTCGGAAACATAACAGACGAACAACCCTTTGCTATTTTTGCTTATCTTATGGAACAATCGGCATTAGTTAAATTTTGCTCTCAATCCTTCTCAAGCGTTAGTTCATTTGCCTTTGTTATAATAGAGATAATTAGNAATTTTGATTGATGATTAACAACTTTTAAATTGGTACTTAACATTTAAAACAAGTATATTTTAGTAGCAATACCATGTGCTACTTGGTGTATTTTTTTTGGGGGTTCTGATTATTCTGAGCATACGCAACTGCATAATTTTGACATTTTTTGTAGGACTTAATTTAAACATCAAAACAAAAACATTTTAGAGAATGTTAGTTTCTATGGTTTTTATAAAAATAAATTTGTTAACGTTATTGAAACAAATAAGGAAAAACCTATATTAAGGAACAAAGCTCACATAACCCACTAAACACGAAACGTAAATGAAACGATGCAAATGAGATGTTTTACTAAACATTTGACACATTAACTAGAAACGTTTCTGTTTCATTACAGAAATGTAGCACTTGAAAACTTATTTAGTGAAACATAGCCGAAACGTTAAAATTGAAGAGAGTTTGAAACATTACTCGAAACATTCCCTTTCGAACTCGGAAACATAACAGACGAACAACCCTTTGCTATTTTTACTTATCTTATGGAACATTCGGCATTAGTTAAATTTTGCTCTCAATCCCCAATCCCTCTCAAGCGTTAGTTCATTTGCCTTTGTTATACAATGACATAATTAGAAAAAAAATGTGGTAGCATATTTATAACACAAGTCTAGAAAAAATGTAATGTTTGTGACTTGCGTAGACTGCGCGTAACAGCCCGAGTTTATTTGTTTCCCGTGTGTCGTTTCAAATCGTATTATGTTAGGTTAGGTTTGCGGTTTGCCAGTTTGCTTGGTTTCGTTGTTATTCATCTTTACTTTGACGCTATTTTATGTGATAATTTGTAGTGTGTGCAGTTGTGGTTATTGTAAGGTGCATATAAAATAATGAATATTGATGCAAAATGTTTAAAACGATATGTGTAAAGAGATTTCCAATTTTGCGTCACATCTACCTAAATATAGTTATACCCACTACCTATTACAGACAAGAGGACAAGCGACAAGAACTAAGAAAATGGAACAACAACTATACGTGTCGATATAATTTGAAGAGCAACTACTTAGTCAGTGACTACTATTTGAAATATGGATGAATCAAGTGAAATAGACGTCATTTATTTTATATTTTGTACAAATGTTTATATTTGTTCATGTGTATAGGCATGCTTAAATAAAAGAGTTTAACAGATATTTACTTTGTCAAGATATCATTTTGTATCCTTATTTCTGCTTTATAATTTATTATTATTAAAAGGATAGATGTAATATTGACCATGCGTAGAAGAAATTATAACTTTATATTATTTTTCAGTAATGTTATTTGTTTTTCAAGTACCTACTATTTTAAGATTCATAATCATAACTAACTTTTTCTAATTATCAGTTCGTCATTGTTACCATATTCATGATGGTCTCAACATTAGAAAATTTCCATTTCAGAAGCGTATTTGAACAATATAAAATGTGTAGCGTTTTTAAATGCTTCTGATATTGTTTTTGACATTTTTATTTGTAGGATGAATGGCAAAATTCGTAATCCATATTAGAAACTTTTTTCAGTGGCTTCTCAAAAAAAGAAATTCTTGGTAAAAGTTGCCGCATCCCCAAACTAGAAGAGCATATTTATTTTTTTTTAATATACAATGTAACTTTTTAGTTCGAATTAAGTCATTCACAATACAAATAAAAATATCACAAAAGAGTACCTATTAGAGATATTTAAAAAAATACACTATACTATTTCAAAAACGCTTTTGAAATAAAAATTATCTAAAGTTGAGAGCATTATGAGGACAATATGGTAATAAAAATATTATGTTACTCAAACATTTCTGAAAATATACTGAAACGTAAAACAAAAATATCGAGGGCATAAATGGAACATAAAAAGAATGTTACTGAAACCAATTTTTTGAAACGTTTCATTGGAAACGTATTTTGGGGAGGACATCTTGGGCTTCTAAATCATTATCAGAAC